ATATTGACTTTGATCTGCCCGATGCAGTACCCCACACTCGTGTGGTCCCAGTCAGGGTCGGATGCAAGACAAACCCCCTGCCCGTAATATAGCACATGGCAAATGCTGCCAAGCATGACCCTCGGCAATTTAATATCAACTGCCGATTATCAGTCACGGCAAATCATACCGCAGCATAGAAATGAAGTTCTCTATGGCCTTGGATATAATTGGAAGACACTCAATGCCCGCAGTTTCGTGTCACCCACTGTAGATGAAGTCCACTGACTGCGGATCGATGAGCCTGCAGTACAAGTATCAAGCAGGCCGCAGTGAATACCGGCCGTTCACCTCATACCTTTCACATCAGACTTCAGCATGTTTTGGAACACCTTTGCCGCTGGCACGCTGCTGGCTCAGTCTGCTGCTGCGCAGAACATGTTGCGCTTTGGCTGTTCACAGCTTACTGTCGAGCGCGCCGACCCTCTCGTCGCACCTGGCATGCGCCCGTCTCCCCACACACATCAGATCATCGGAGGGAACTCCTTCAACCTCACTGTAATATTTCCCAACATCCCTTGCAAATTGCAGCCACTAACACTACCTAGATGGAGCCCGCTGTCTACGACCCGGCAGCGCTCTCCACCTGCACATCCTGCACCTACTCCGAGGACTTCAGCAACTACTGGACGGCCTCCATGTACTTCAAGTCCCCAGAGAACGGCACCTTCCAGCGTGTCCCACAATTTGCCAATGTCGGGCTCCAGCAGACCGGCGGCATGACAGTCTACTACATGGCCTACTCCGCCAAGAACGGCAAGATGACCGCTTTCAAGCCCGGCTTCCGCATGCTGGCTGGCGATCCGTTTGCCAAGAAACCCAACAAAGCTTCCATATGCCATCGTTGTTTGAAGAATGGTGAGGGCTTCGCGCCATGCGATGCTAAGGATACTGCGGAGTTGCCGAATAAGTACTGTCCTGGGGGCATTCGAGCGACCATTATCTTCCCGAGCTGTTGGAACGGCAAGGATTTGGATTCTCCGGACCACAAGAGCCATGTTGCGTATTCGAATGGTGGCGGTCTGGGCTCGCCGTCCTGTCCTAGCACGCATCCTGTCGCCATTCCACAGGTCATGTATGAGGTCATGTGGGACACAGGCAAGTACAAGAACGATAAGTGGTACGGGAGTGGAAAGCAGCCATTCGTGTACAGCTTTGGTGATGGGTGAGTCGACCGTTGTGCAATTTTCACATGCAGACATTGACGTCAGGACAGCACTGGTTATGGCCAGCATGGCGACTACCTCTTCGGCTGGAAGGGCGATGCTCTTCAGAAGGCTATGGATGCACTTCCTAGTGGAAAGTGTGCGAATGCAAACTGCAATGTTCTCAAGGTCCAGTCTGCGCAACAAGCGCAGTCTTGCACCAAGAAGCAACAGGTTGTTGAGGATGTTGGTGTTGCAGGTAATTGGTTGACGGAACTCCCAGGCGGTATGCCTGTTTCTTACTCAACATAGTCAAAGTTTGTTAGTTCGCGGGACGGTGATGGTTGTTAAGTATTTGAATTGTAGAGTCGCTCCCTTGAAAATAATCTTGATGTCGTTCGTTGTCTTGGATTCGGATGCCGCTGTACCAAAGAATCTTGACAAGCGATACCTGAGTGAGGATAAGAAGACCGTAAAAGCAGAAGACCGCACAATCCACTGTCACAAGATTAGGGTACGTTGAGACAAGCTCTGACGGCATTTACTTGGCCCCACAAAATTTAATCTCCATATAGTGAACTCAAGGCGGGGAAGCGCCGGGATCTCTCCTACAGGAAAAAACTTCTACGCCCTGGATGAATGGGCTCTATTGCTGCAAGTATGTCAGTTTGAACTTCCTAGTTAAATAGGTGACGCGAATTGTGAGGTTGTTATAAGGCTTGGTCTGTGCCAGACCAGCACCAAATAGCCGCCGCCCACGCCGCCCGGCGGCAGCTGCCAATAAGCCTACCAGCGTGTTTTTACACTTCAGTTCTCGAAGAAATAATCGCTCTGACAGGCTGCTTGAGGTAAACTCTTAGAACGATTTCTCACTAGTTATGCAAAATAATGCATGCATCCCTTCGCTGTTCACAATTGCCTTTAACGTAATGCATACCTGCAGATCACTAAGTACACTATCGGATCTTGATAAGGAGAATCAAAGCCCTGAAGATATTACAATTCAAAACGATCGCGCTCAACAAACAGCACTGTAGCGAGAGAAGGAGCGCGATGGGAAATCAAAGAAGCAGAGAGAATGTGCCCCAAAGGTCGAAACCCAGTCCACGGGAGGAGGAAAGTTAATGAGAAACAGTCTCAAGTCGCAGATCAATCAACTTTCTTGCTGCTCTGAATTAACACTAATAAAAATCTACGACAATCTGGTCTCGACATCTTTTCTACTTCCTACCATCCATCATTCTAACCTGCTCGTCCAAACTCTCCCAGTCCCGACGAATTTGATCTCGCTCTTCTCCCGTCATACTACCCCAACTTAGCAAGTTCTCAGGCGCATCCAGCCCAGCCACCACCAGTGCCTCCCTATCATTCGTCAGCATCATCAACCGCTGCTCCTCTGTCAACGGCTCAACTTCCACCTCCCCACCAGCATCCATCCGTTCCAACTCCCACCAAACCCGATGTCTCCGCTCAGGCGCTACCTCACCCCACCCCCATATGTTTTCCGGAACACCTAGCCCTTCCCTTCGCAATCGCTCTACAGTCCCCACGAATCTTGCCAATCGATCTGCGTCCGTCGCTTCCAAAGGATCCACCCCAGTACTCAAAGGCCGCACTTTCGACCCGCGATAATGCCACCCCTGGGCATCGACGTTGATTTCTCGGATAGCGCGCTTGTACAGTTCCCGCTCTTCGCCTGTCATGTGCGATGTGTTCCACCACTTGCGGAATTGCTGCTCGCCGTTCTCGAAGCGCTTACGGATGAGGTCGTTCTTGAAATCTTACATGATGGTCTCGTCGTCGTCGTCGGAAGAGGAGGAGCAGCGCGTTGGGCGGCGTGCCTCTTTTTAGCTGCTTCGCGTCGTGTAGGACGGGTTGGTGCGATGGCGGCTTCATTTATCGCGCAGACGGTGTTGCGGGCGTATTGTTGCTCGTGCGCGGAGAGGGAGGGCCAGGAGGGCATGAAGTGCGTGAAGGGGTAGATGCTGCTCTGAGATTGTTCTACAGTGGAGTGGATTTCAGAGTGGAGATCATCGTATTGTGTTTGTCGTCTACCTGGTTCGGCGTCCTCTCGCTCGATGGTGGCGAGGTCTTGCATTATTTGAACTCGTTCCTCTGGAGTTCCGGTGAAGCTGCTTAGCAATGTCGGGGAGAATAGGAGACCTTCGGCATTGGCTCTGTCTCGGACGAAGCGGATCCTTTTGAGCCTGTGTTTGACTTTCTGTTCGTTGGCCATGTAGGCTGCTACCTCAGCTCTTCTCCGCATTTCGCCGTCGGTGAGGACCTCGTCTTTGTGGTTGGGCGGATAATATGGCCGTAGGTCTCTATTCATGATCCCTCAGCTCTGATCTGCTCCTGGTGGAGGTTCTCACGGCGTCGTTCGGCGCCCTGTTTTTCTTGCTCTGTTGCCACTGGCTTGTTGCCAGATTCGTCCACGGTCCCGCTCGGGCCAGCACCTCCAGTCATTTCATAGTCCTCTTCTCTGGGTTTTACTCGTGCGTTATTGCGTATGGCTAGCTCATCTTCATTGTTGTCTATCTGATGCAGCCCTATATAGAGCTATGCAGGTCCTGCAATGCCTGTGAAGTTGGAGAATAGTGCGCCACACGAGGTGCACCATGTATCAGTGACTGCGTTGTGGTAAGTACAACGTGGGCAGGGAAAGTAACCTGGGAGAGGCTGGGGTACGATGGCATTCTGTTGGTTGGAAGGCGACTGTAACTGAGCAGAGAGAGACTGTTGCGATTCAGTGGGACGCGTTGCTTCTGTCTGAGTTGGTGGTTGAGATGGATCTGTCTGCGCAGCTGGTTGCGATGCTTCAGTTCTCGCTTGCTGCAATTGCTCGACTCGAGCCGACCGACGTGGTTCAGTCTGCGGTGGTTGAGTTGATCCTGTCCAAGCTGCCGTTTGGGCTGGTTGAGTCGTTTCCGTCCGAACTGGTAGAAATTCTCCTGTTCCATTCGCGCCATCCTCTGCGACTCGCGTCGTTGGTGTGTCCGCCGGATGGGACTGCGCAGTGCTAGTTGTGGGCTTTTTCTTAGCCAACATACTGTTACCCAAACCAGTACTCTGCGCGTGACTTGGGTTGAGCCACAAACCTGGATTGCCGAAAACATTCCTCCACGATGACGGCTCGGGATCGGGCTCGTTTATTGAAGACTCGGACCCAGTCTCTGATCCCGCATCGCTTGATGTTTCGACACCAATTACTGGCCTTGCAGTCTCTATCGCGCGCGTCTCCAAAGCCGTTGGCACTGTTGCTGGCTGTGAAGAGCTAGCGCTATAACCTTGTACGGGCTGAGCTGATGGCGCAGATGGAGCAGGCTGACCCACTGGTACTTCCTGCACCGCTATCTGCGCCGGGTTTGATCCTGAATGTTTTCCCACAATATGCGTTGAAGTAGATGTACTAGACTGAGCTGGAGACGTGGGAAATCTACCTTTCCTGATGGAGCCTGCGAATGCATTTGAGGTCTGCGTTGGTTCACCCAAATAAGTGCTGGGCTGTCCAACTGGCCTTTCACCGGGCGGACCAGTCGAACGTCTCGTTGATCTTGCAGGCCTTGGAACAGCTCTTGATATAAGGTGTGGCGGAAGAACCTGTGGGACGGGCATTTGGGCTGGTGGTGCATTGTAGTGGTTAGAGCCCGAGTCGTTTGAGCTATCATTGCCGCTGTCGTCATGCGGATTGAACGATTCGTTATGACTATTGCCGCCCGAGTCGGATGGATCGTCATCATTATCGTCGTCGTCATCGTTGTTGTTCTCAGGCAAAGCTCTCCTTTGCGCATCTTGCTTAAGCCAAATGAGCTTTACTCTCTGTGCAGCGTCAACATGCTTGCAATGCCTTGCTACTTCTTTGCTGCTAACAGTCTCCTTTGCGCGTCGCCAGTGTACTCCTCTAACCACATACTCTTCCCAGAGCCAGTACAGGTTCTCTGACAACCACGATGTGAAATGATCACCGGTTTCAGAAATTCGAAAGTGCTGAGAGTTCTGGCTTGCAAGAAGTGCGGGTGTTACGCGGACTTTGCGGGCAAGGTGGGATTGTTCGGCAAGATATGATGCATAAGTAAAGTGAGGGTGTTTGAACAAGGGCTCGGGCTCAATCTGTGGTGGAGTGGCTGCTTGTTCATCTTCATCGCGGCGTCGCTTGCGAGAGTTGGTGTCAGTTTGCTCCCATGGATCCGCCCAGGGCGTAGGTGCCTGAAGGACCAGATCTGGACCGAAAAATGGGCGTTTATCGCCTGGAACGTGCGGCCATTGAATGCTACTGTTAGATGTTGACATCTTGCGAGATATTCTGTTGGCTGTACGAGCTGGAGTTGAAGATGTTGTTTGCTTCATCCATCATGCGAAACGACTGTTTACATGTGTCTTGATGCACCACAAAGGCGGACCAAGCATCGATGTCATAGACAAAGGACTTCGAAGCGTTGATGGAAAAGACAAGGAAAGTTGCTTTATGGCTTCGATCAAAGAAGTGACACGAGCATTGTGCAAAGGCTTCGAAATTCATGGCGTAGAATGCGCAACAGTGCGCAACTTGAGAATTTCCGACATGAAGAAGTATGTAAAACATTGGATGAAAGCTGGCTGGGAGGCAACGCTCATCAGATCATTGTTGTATGAAGAAATTGATAGATAGTCCAATTTTGAGTGTCTGGATAGGCGCTGCTTTGGCTTCGTTTGTATGCACATTGCCGTCAACTATCTTGGCTTCGTTCAGTCTGATGTCTAAGAAATATGATGACTCTCCACGCATATCATTTCCCCAAAAAGCAATGCCATAAAATGCATCTGCTCCTACAAATTGGACATGTCCGACGTGTTCGCATGGAGCTCAGCCTTTGTAATGGTTGCCATGATACTCTCGGGTGTTTCACACCTCTCAGTCCCAAGCTTTTCCAACCTGTAGTTGTATACCATGCGCGCTATCGTATGATGTCCTTGCTTCCAGGCTCGATAGACGGTTCGGCGATAGTTGCGCTGATCGTTGATATCGGCACCGATTTCGAGTAGATAGTGCACCATGTCTAGGCGACCCCACTCGGCTGCACCTTCAATAGCGCTCCGTCCACCTATGGCTGCCGGAGGGGCGTTGATGTCTGCACCAGCCTTGATGAGCATGTCTGCGATCTTGAAGTTGCCATTCATTGCGGCGAATTGGAATGCTGTAGCGCCTTGGACGGGCCCAGCTTCTGCATTGACTTCAGCGCCAAGGTCCAAGAAAGTGCGCACGTGCTCGCTCTGATTGTGTAGGGCGAGGTATTGGAGTGGAGTCTTTTGCTCGAGCCGCTCTGGGGGGTTGATCAGATTCTTGCAACAATGGCTGTACCTGAGGATGCGCGTCATTTCCGGATAGTTTCTAGCCAAGATGAAGTTTGCAAGTGCAGCTTGGAGGCGGTTTTCGAGATAATGAGGTCCCAGATATCGGCCGATATGTTTCCAACTCATGCCTTGAGCAAGTAGCATTCTTTCCAGCACAACAAGTCCTTTGCAAAGTGCATGAGAAAATGCTTCACACATCTGTTGTATTCCGCTTGGCCACTGCATGTGACGCTCGAGCACAATTCGGGTAAGGCCCCAATTGCACAACCTTACGGATTCGAGGAAGGCACTTTTGCCTTCAGTCAGGTCATACTTGGTATCTACCTCAGTGTTGGTCGGTTTCATGGTCCCTGATATTGTGTCGAAAGGATTGGCACCTGCACGGAGAATTTCTACAGCCAGTGTGACAGACCTTATCCGCATCGCCAAGATGAGAAGCCGTGTAAGCTGCTGTGAGGAAAGCTCGCTGAGTTCAACAGAAAGGTCAAGTAAGACCTTCCTATTGGCGGATGGGAACATAGGGTAGTTGTTGAATGCCTGTAAGATCTTCTCATAATTCCAAGCTGCCTTTTTTGGGTCCAAGGGCGGATGTGCATCGTGAGCTGGAGGTTCCGATTCAGCGAAGACAAAGCTGTCAGCGATGTTTGCACCGAATCTACTGATAAGTACAGGCAGGTATGGTAACACTACGCGCGTATCATGAGCCAGGCACCGAAAAACTCGGAGCACAAAATCCTGACTACCGTTTTCAGCAATAAAAGGTAACAGTGCGTGTAATGAGTGCTTGTCACAATCCTCTACCTCACCACTGAACAGTGTACCGCCAGCTCTATAGAGCAGCCTGGCAGCCTCCATGTGATTATTCGAAAGAGCTGTTCGAAGTGCTGAGAGAGCCGGATGTGGCGGATGTGCGTCATCGTCTCTCTCGCTGAAAGTGGCGTTTACATCAGCGCCATTTTGTATGAGAAGCTCGATCATGTATGGATTTCCTTTCGCAGCGGCGAGCTGGATTGGATATGTTCCACAACCTTGTTGGACAGCGGCGCCACGGCTTAAGAGCAGCCAAACGAGAGCATAATGGTCATTTTCGATGGCCACATGCAAGGCATTGAAGCCCTTGATGTCGCAAAATTTGTGCTTGTACGCCTTGCAGCAGCAATTCGTGCCTGTGCCCACACAATCGTGACCCATGGCTACGCTGTAGATTGGCGCATTTGCCGCTAGCAGCCGTGATATCATCGCTGTGTTTGGAGTTCTCGACGCTGCAGCTAATGCGCTACCCTTCCCAGTATCGCTCATAGCAGTCATGTTCAGGCCCATTTCGCATAGCGCATTCACTAAGGGGTTGACCTCCTGAACAGTTTCGCAAAGCAATGCTGCTTCGAAGAAGATCCAGGGAACCAGCTTCGCAGACTCAATGAGCTGTGGGCGGCTGTGCCAAAGTATCTTCACAACCTCAGTGCGTCCTAGGAGTACTGCGTTGCGTAAAGTGCACAATGTCACTTCTGGAAATCGCCCAGGGTTTGATGACATGAAACCTAAAATCTCCCCAAAAAGATACGAATGGCCTCTTTCCAGAGCGAGATCGAAAATCGTGCCTTGACATGATGTGATGTGGGAGAACGAGGGGGACCAAAGGCTTGCATTCCAATCGGTGGCACCTCTCTCCAGGAGAAGCTTGACAAGACTCCTGTTGTCTTGACACACAGCGAGCTCCAGCGCGGTCATTGGATCGGCACCGACCATAGTTTGCACACGAAGATTGACGCCGACACCCAAGTCGAGAAGTAGTTTGACCAGAGACTGGCGTCCGGATTGTGCTGCCGGATGTAGTAGCTTCTCCGCCAACGCATTCGAGGTGTCAAGATCCCGACGAAGTGCACTCTCCAGCGTATCCCGATACTCCGAGTTTTCAATGAGATCCATAACAATGCTCCCCATCCTGGGAACTTCAAAATTGTTCGACATTGAGGCGACGATCAACTGCAGGAGATTAATTCCGGACATCCCTTGCGATAATGCAAGAACGGCAGTACCGCCAGCGGTTCGAACTTCTTTGCTTTCGCTATCGGTAGAAGGCAAATATGATGCAGGATCGTGCAGCACCGGATGCGCCTCAGATTCAGGTACATGTGGTATTATCATCACATTGTGCTCTCGGCGTTTGGAGTCCGTCTGCAGCTCCGAAGAGGCCGGTCGATCTCGCAGAAAGTGAGTCACTTTGGGCACCTCCAACTTAGTGGAAGCAGAAGAGAGTAAAAAATCCTGAAAGCGGTTCCACGGAGCGCGCAAGGTGAGTTGTAGTATGGTGTGGTCATCTAGTGGACTTGGTAACATACCGCTGTCTTCCGTGAACGGACTAGGAGACGCAGCGGGCGTGAATATTGCGATGTCTAACGGCACCGACTGTTGTTGAAGCGCACTGGTATCTGCCATGCTCTCAGTAAGAATCCTTTTCACCCAATGAGTGAAACAATTCAGAACTTACCGAGCCTGATCCGATCGAATATTGATGAAGACTCGTATAGCCTCCTTTGCTTCTGTATTTTAGACAGCGGGACAAGCATGCCACGAACTCTGATATCGGTACGTTTCTTCAAGATTTCTCGTTCTTGTAATCGTCTGACGATGAGGGTCCATTCAGATTTGCTGATGTTCTTCGATATTCCCCAAGATTTGAACGCTCGCTCATATCGCGCTTTGCTGGTTGACACATTACAGTCTGCGTTTACTCTTGTGGTGTGTACTTACGTTCTCTTGAAGCCCTGAGCGGCCATGGCGGTCATGACTTCGCTCAGCGACTTGCCCTGACTAACGTACAGGTCCACAATTACATCTTTGTGCAAGTCCCACTCGTCATCCAAAGCTGGGCGCTTGGGCATGGTGCTGTCACTTTAAAAGGTGATGAGCTGGACTTAGGCTATAAAGATTGCTTTGAACAGCCTTGTGCTGTGCAAGCTAGGTACCAAAGAAGTTATAAAAACATAAGATAGGAACGTAAGTTTGTCCAGCGTGCGGAGAGTATGATGGGGAAGGCTTGTAGTGAGAGATGAATGATAAAAAATGATAATGTGGAGAGGACATACTTATTGTTATGGCAGAATGAGACGCAGACAGCGCGCTGTGATTCGCTGTTGCCAAAATCTTCTTCACCTTTGATTGGCAGTGCGTTGAAAGCCACTTCCCGTACATGCTGACATGCATGAACGCAGACTGCACCATCGATTGGTGGGAGCCAGAATCTGCTTTTCGGCAGGCGATCGTCATTGGTGTGTGCCACTTTCTGCGTCCTCGCTCCGGCGGACACGCGTTGAGACGACATCTTCATCTGAGCCACCTTTGCGGACATGCCTGGATATCGATTGGCCGCAGCTAGAATCTGGCCATGCAGCTTCTCGAAAATATCTCCTCCATGGGACCACAGGCATATAAGATGGGCTCTCGCACCGATCTCAGTCAGTACAAACAACCTTCTCTGAAGAATCTCGCGACCATCTCGACGCCAACGTTACGACACGTCTACTATCACTTTCTCTAGCTCTTAAAGATGCCACTGGACGGACAAAGCACTATCGCTCTCATCGCGCTCATCGTATCATGTCCGCCAACGATATGGGTGTTGTGCATTGTACACGCACGATATCGACTTCGTAACCGATACCGTAAGTGCCTTGCTGTACGTGCCTTGCTGCTTGACGCACTGACGCATACACATAGCTGTCCTTCCCAATAATATTGACGATCTCCTCATCGAGAGTTCAATCATGATGCATCGGCCACGGTCGCGAGTGCGAACGTTCGAGAGTCATAGCTCAGTGAGGGTCATAGAGCTAGCTGACGCTGACGGTCAAAGTACGCCGAGGGGAGCAATGCTGATGGAATAGTATGGCGATTGAGAAGCCAACGGACGTTGTTGTAACTCGCCACGCTGTGGGAAGGAGGAATTTTTGGGGATGTACTGAGGCCAAAGTAATGGGTGGAGCAGGGCTTGCCTATGGCATAGCAAGCTTGATCTGGGCGCGCTGCTCCAAAACAATCGAATATTACCAATGTGCGGGCATGATTTTAGACCAAGCAGGCGATGGTCGTGTTCTGTCTGATATATGCTATGTCGTCGCTATTCATCGTGAAAGATCCTGAACTTGCTGGGCATAGCCTCAATAGGAAGGGGGATAAGGGAGGGCGCAATTTACGCTTCGATGCGAGGAAGAGCATGTAGATAACTTTGATGATAGCCGAGGCGAATAAGGAAATTTGCGATGCGTGTCCCAGGCTCTTTCATTGCGATGGGTCTCGCCAAGGGGTAATGCTGATGAGAGATAAGGTAGTCAGGAGTAGTTCCAGGGCCGGCCAGTGCGCCACATTTCCGAGGGACTATTCCCGAAGGAGGCAGGACGGCTACCATTGGTCGAGCGTTTTGAACGCCATACAACAGCCAAGTTCCACGGTGTCAAGAGCACGACGAGAACGCGAACTGTCACAGCCAAAGTCTCCATGTCGACCCCGCAAACGTCAGCATACAAGCATCTGTCGCAACCTTCTGCTTCAACCGTGCGGTGCCGTCGGAGCCGTTCCACGCTACTTGGCAGAGTCCCGTGACCATGGACCCGCGCCACCGAGGGCAGACCCGCGCCATTCTTCGGCCAACCTGACCTTCGCCACTACCATCTGATTCGCTCGCAGACGGCAGCAGAGCCACCGGAGTGCTTGATTGAGCTTAGCGAAAGCAGCGCGGACGTGTCTATGCGCCGCCACAGGCAGAGCAACCGCCAAGGCCAATCTCGCCGCGCTGCCCTAGGGTCCTTTCCAGCATGGGGCGTGCTGGGGCTGACGAGCTGAGCAGACCTGGCCTCAACCGTGCTTTAAAAGTGCAGAGGCCCCCAACTTTCTGAGGCGCTGCCCCCCCCTAAACGACGACGCCCTCTTCGTCAGCCTCTCCTCCCATCGCTCTCCAGGGCTTTCGAAGACAATCTCGGGCGCCATTCAAAATGGTCTTGTTATCTTCGGCCGGAGGGCGGAACCCGCTGTTCGCGCTCGCTGCGAGCGCCGGCGCCATGCTCATCTTCATATTTGCATTTCTGGCTTGGCAGAGTCCCTCGAAGATCCCCTTCACACGACAAAACCCGCCGCACATGTCAGAAACGTACGTTGGCCCTTTGTAGACTCTCGCGGAGCGCACTGGTGGCGTAGAGAGATTGCTAGCCCCTGACCAGTCACTAACTGTAACTGCGCAGGCCCATCCACGCAGAGAAGGCACCCACGTCAATCAACGATATTATTCGAACGCTATATGCGCCGCTCAAGGCCGAGCCCACTGAGCCCTTCATTCGCGAGCCCAATGGCAGCCACATCGAACTACCGCCGCACCCGCGCTACAAGAAACCACTCGGCAGCGAGATCCTTATTCTTGATCTCGAGACTCGCCCATTGCAGAGCACCGACGATTTCCAGAGAGGCGAGTATGAGTGGCGTAACATCAACCACGTCTCTGGTGGAATTTTCAACCACTACACATATGCGCTCATCCACGGCTACGACTACAAGTTCATCCAGGCTTCCAACTTTGAAGACCGACACGCGACGTGGATCAAGCCTTCAGCATTGGCAAACCACATCAAGAACTACAAGTTCATCATCTTTCTCGATGCCGACGCTGCTTTCCGCTTCCTACATGTACCCATGGAGTGGATGCTGAACTACTGGGACATCAAGAAGAGTGATGCTATCACAATGGCCAAGGACCCATGGGATCCAAAGTCGCCTCAATACAACTCGGATCGCTTCAACCGCACATACACCAACACTGGCTTCATGATTGTGCAAAACACACCACAGATATTGCCTATCCTCAAGGCGTGGCACGAATGCCCAGATGATGTACGATACGCAAACTGCTCGCAGTGGAAGACCCCTAGGTTCCATGAGCAGTCTGCGTTTGGCGAATACATCCGTTACGACTATGAGCCCTACATCAAGGAGCTTGATTGTGGTGAGGCGAACGGCTTCCCAGGTGTCGAGGTCAGCAATTGCCAGGGCAAGCTCATCCGCCACTACTGGTTCGAAAAACATCTGGTCAAGGACGACTTCCAGCAAAACATGATGAACGCCATCACGATGCCTATCCAAAAGCTCTTCGCTGATAACATTGGTCATATCATTACGAAGACCGAGGAGAATGTGATACATTAACACTTCAACTCTTTATTACTATTTCCGCTATTATTTTGCCATATATTGAAAGAGAGAGGGATATGGAGTATTGCATAGCATAGCGTTGCATGGTTATGGCGTTTTTGGTTTTTTATTGATGGGCCAAGACTCGGGTTGGTCACCTGGGAGCCCCTGGCTTCGGCATGCTGTATCGCATCGACCTGGGTTCCGCGACGCGAAGATACCCTACACGAATAATCGACTGACGACGCTTCGTTACGCGACTTCGTTTCTGTATCACGATAAACAACCACTTTGCACAACGCTCGCTTGCCAACTTGGTGACCTTCGGGAACCACATGGCTAATACCTTTCCATTGCTCCACATTGTACAACAGAACGGCCTCACAGCAATCATGTTCCCGACTCTCGTCGAACATGCGCCTTCGTTGGCATCTGCCATCTGCCATCTGCAGCGTTACACGACCGTTAGCGTCAGCAATGTCACCCGCCCTCGCGCGCCAAGCCGCTATCCTGAATATGATGTCAGCGATCCGCATGCACACCACCGCCTCGACAGAATGATTGCCAGGCACCCGCTCGGATGATCTCCGTCGCGTATCTCTGCCGCTCGAGGTATGCATTCATCGGACCGACAATGCTAATGAATATTGCGAGAGCCGGGCTCCAAGTTCGCGTCTTTGAGCCTTGGGGAAGGCGCAGAGAATTCGTCCGATCATGCGCAGCACAGGCGATTAGCTTTCAACCATGGAGATGTAGCGCATCGTGGCGCATCGCTGGACAGATTCGGACGCCTATCACCTTCTAGTCACCCTCAAATTGAAGGCCGAGTTTTTATTCTATGGTCTGGCGTAGACGTCTTTCTTGGAGTTTTTATGGCCCAGGACAGCAGTCATCAACGGCAGACTTACATTCGTTTCGCCGCTTGTGATTAAGAATACGACTCGGGTCAGTCATAACTATGTAATACATGAATCAATATTATCAATTAATACACCGCCCTCTCACTCACCGCGATGTTCAAGATCGAGAGTATCCGGCTACTACCTCAATAGTCAGGGAGATTGCGACTACTAACTACAGCCCCAACAATCGGAGGAATCCTCATCTCAAAACACTCGCTTTCTACTCACCCGGCTCAAGTCCCAACTTGGTCATCTCGCCAGATAGCATCATTGCCTCCCTAGCCTTCAAATCCCCAATCTCCAGCTCCAGCTCCCTCACCCCCACATTTCCAATCCTCCCCCGCTTGAACTCCCACATCTTCTTAACCTCACTTTCCCCCTTCTCGTCCAAAACATACTCATTCAAAATCCTCAAGCACTCCCTCGCATTCCCATAATCCACCGCCGGCGGAGCAGACGGCCACACCGATGGCGTCGTCGTCCTCACCGGCCACGTCCCCGCCCTGCGAAACACCATCTCCTCGCTCGAGCTCGAGCTCTGGCGCCGCGGAACCACGGGCCTTTTTCTCAGTGGCAGGGGAAGGTGCACGCGGCGCGGCGGAGGTGTAGGGGACCATGTCCACACGCGGCGCGATTGACGGAGGGATGGCGTGGGGCATGGTGGTGATGGAAGTAGGGGGGTAGACGTGAAGAGATCGGAGAAATTGGTAGGTGTCTGAGGCAAGGGCTTGGAGAGGAGGAGTGGGGAATTGGAGGGGAGGGGGTGGCGTTTTACGGTGAATGGATCTGGGGTAGGTAGAGTGGTGTTTCTGCGCAGGGGAGGACGTTTTCGCGGAAGGAGAGCTGGTGGTGGTGTGGCGGGGGGAGTTGCGTAGGGTGAGTGGATGTGCTTGTAGAAGGCGGATGGCGTTTCTGCATATCGTGGTGGAGTGCGGGCAGTCAAGTAATCTTGTGGTGTATGGACGTACGATGCTGCATCTGGTGTATGCGGCATAGGTGTTCGCAATGCGGCTCAAGCATGTTTCCGAGTATCGTGTAAGCCCGTGAAATGAAATGCCTGTTTGAGTACTTGGTAGTGCTTGCTTTAGTCATTATTAGTTGACTTAACGATGTCTGACTGTGGACTAGAGGCGAAGTAATGTTTAAAGTAAATTTGAAGTAAATGTGAAGTATGGATCTGAGCGCAAAGCTGAAGCCTGCTACCTAAGTCTATGATATCCCAGCTGATGGATTCGAGTTCGGGTATATTTGCATCCGTTGAGCGCCAAAGATATAAACCAGATAACTGTAAGTGTAAGAAACTCCCAGCCGTATGCTCCCTTCTAGAACTCCATAAAACGCCATATCCAATGCACAGCACATCATCATCATACAATGCCAAAGTTGATCTGTACCAACACATGAGCTGCGTCCGGTGACATAGCACGTAAATCACACAAGATGACCTAGGTGGTGTCGACTCAGCAGCAAGTCAGGTGCGAAGTTAGTCATGTAAGTGACATCTTCGTCATTTGCAATATGATGAGCGACCTCCTTCAGATTGCGCATGAAAGCCCGAGACTCCTCCTGTGACACGTCCTCCATTTCATCGTCTCCGTCAAGACCTTCCAGATCATCCAACACATCCTCCCCATTTTCCTGCTCTTCCTGGGCGAAGGCGGACCACTCTTCAATATCGTCCTCGGTGAAGAATGGCTGTTGGCTTGTGTCGATGTCATTTGCGAATGACTCATCGCAGTCTTCGTCTTCTTTACCATCGGATCCAAGCTCGAATGAAGACACGGAGAATGTGTCGAGATCTGCGAATGCCGAGCAGAGGGACGAGGGAAGTGAAGATGGGGTGGATGCAGGTGAGATTGAATTTGCGTCGAGTTGCATGTCCGAGGTTTCCTCATCGGTCAGTCCCAAGCTAGACAGGTGTGCGCTGGAATAGCGACCGGAGGTTTGGCGTTCGAGTAGGGCGAAGTCATGCGCAGGGGTTCCGCCCGAATAAAATTCTAGGCAGGCACCGAACTCGGCCTGTAAGGTTTGGGCGACGCCGGGAGCGAACCCAAGCAGACTCCAAGGCTATGCGATAGACTTTGGCGACATTGCTCAGGAGGACATTTCGGATCGCTGTGGTAATGGGATGGGAGCCGCCCATGATGGAGTCGTCCACACGAGAGTTCAGGACATGAGATAGTCGCGACCCGATGAACAGATTGAGCTCGTCGAATCGTGCGCCAACGCATGCTAGGGCTGCGATCGCGGTTGCTGCCTGGTGTGTCTGCTGCAAGGTGGGCGGACCGGTAAGTGCATGGAGATGCAGCCGCTTTAGATATCGAAGATACTTGTCGGGCAATGGGCGGGAGGATGGGAGGCGATGTCGGTCGTTGGCCGAGGGTATATCGACGGCGATAACATTGTGTTGGTAAAAGTAAGATGATGATTCTTCATGAACCAGCTTGGAGACGGAGAACATCGCTAGCTCATGTGGGATGCGATGCTGAGAGTTGTTCTCACCGCTCAGGAGCTCATCGTAACAAGCATTCCTGATCTCTGGGGGTAGGTTGGTAAAAGAGGCCATAGTTGAAGATGTTGAAGTGCAATCTATGGCGACGCTGTCGTGTTGATGCCGAGCGGAGGCAAGAGGGGATTGCGGGATTTGCGAGGTAATTGGATTGTAGGCGGGCAAAGGCGTTTGTAAAAGTCGGGTGGCGTAGCGTCGCGGCGTGATGGAACAAGTGAAAGCTCGGTGGCCGTGCGCTGAAGGGGACACCGACTTTAAATACTCGTCACACGTTGAGGAAAGGTGGCTGCCTTGTGGGGAGGACACACGCGCGCTTGACAGAACAAGACGAGACACGATTGTAAGGAAGAAGAGGTGCCCGACGCGCGAATGAAGAGGTCGTCCAAGTTTCGAGGCAGGTTCCTGGTTAAGGACTTCGCTGCGCGTTTTACCAGGCGCAACTCGGGAATCGTTAGGTACACTAAGTAAGCGAGCGCCACGTGAATGGTCACCTTGATTATATGTGCATCCACACTTTACGAAGCATTCAAGGGGAAATTGAACGTGCCGGGCTCCTGCCTTCCATGGGACGGCTTCCAAGATTGTCTGTAGACGCACACAGAGCCGCAGCAGATGACTCAATCAAGTTCGCAGTCGGTGAACACCAGTCATGCATCATGGTAGTCCGAGGCTTAATTTTGTGGCGACAAGGTGACCCAAAGACTGCCGTATTGGATGGGCTCGCGGTGTAGCGGCGTCATCACCGCCTCATTCAGTCGCCCTTCCTGGCCAGATGTGGATTGCGTTCTCAGTTGGCATCCATCCGCTGTCATCTGAGAGGTGTCCACGTTACACCGATCGATACTAGCTGCGGGGCGGCCAGCTGACCTGCCCGAGCCGCATGCCTGTCACCAGCAGCCCTACCCGCCACCTAAATGTCCTGCCTGCGCCCATCATGGTGCAGCTACATCACACTCGACCAAGTACTGGTCTTTGTCCATGTCGAACTATCTGAAGAGAACTCTGTTTCGGCTTTGGGAAGTCCGGGAGTTGCCTGGCGTAGGATTTGGGTGCTTGGCTCCTGCGCCAATCAAAGTACGATGCATCATATGTTGTTCGTCGGAGATATGTGTCCCGCTAAGTGAAAAGACGTGTGTTCGACGTTAGGCAGTAGCGAAACGTCGAGTCGCGTCGTTAGACACGCAGAGCGAGTTCGGCAACAGCGGCAAGATCGAATATCCTCCCCAGATTAACTCTCAAAGGTCAGATGTGTAAAAGCGCACAAAGCAAAATGAACCTAGGGGTGCGGAAGGCACCAAATGGATTTTGGGATCTCGCGAGATTTGCCGCTTTGTCAGCGACGCTAAGCTATCGATAAGACACACCTTCACGTGCGCGGCCCTCCACGTGCCTCCTCCGTTTTCTCCCCCAAAGGTCAACTGCGACGCTCAGATGGGGCTATCTTATCACGACAGCTACTCTTATATCAGCTGTGACTACAAAACTATCGTGACTCATCACCTAGCGCGCAGTTTGCTATGCCACTGTTGACTGCCAGCGTCAGCCCGTGACTCAGCCCGACGTAAAGGCCTCACGGGCTCCAAGGTTCCATGGTCGTGCTCGTAGCCGCCAAAGGTACGGACTTCGTTCGTTTCACTTCGGGACGTTTGCCGGTCATCCAAATGCCCCGGCTCCTCCGCATTACGGTGACCGGCTTCATTTTCCCCTAGCGTCCGGGAATAGGATGCGGCGCATATTCCATCGGTCTTCCTAATATATACTGAGGCAAACTATTTATGAGGCGGCTTCATAAAGTAAGGCTATATGTACAAACTCAGCCACGGGTGTGCTGCAATTATTCATGCGCAATAGGTCTGAAGACTCCGAGCACTGTCCGGGGGCAATGTTAAGCTGTTTAACTTCGAATTCTTCTTAGCACTTTGTCACATACTAATAAGCTGTTGGGCATATCCAGGCTCTCATGCAAGAAGCTAGTCGTCCATTAACAGTAGGCTGACTCCAGACAGCGCACACGAAAGTGAATGATCCAACGTCGGGTCACTTCCTCTCACACGACACCGCTTCAACATCAGTCTGTAAGGCCATGCGTTGATTTGCGATTATTCAAGACTCTCAGTATAGCTCTTTGAGTCATTCTACTACATTTAGTAACACTCATAACGCATTCCAGCCCCACGAAGTTCCTACTTTAGCTCTTGAGAGTCAAGCACAACGAAGCAGTCGTGCTCATACGTGAATGCTTCAAACCTACCAGATGCTTCATATCAAGACCATATAGCCGCAGTGTCGGTCCGCGAGGGGTGGACGCGGAAGCCAAGTGGCTTCATAAAATATACTTTCATGAGATGAATTTTCGCAGCAATTCTGCCAACCTCTCTGGTTGTTCGAGAGACAGACTGTGTCCGCAATTTTCAAAGACCTCAGATATCACAATGTCCGTAGCAGCAATCTTCATTTGCTCCTCTACCAAAGGGCCAAAGAATCTGAGACGTTGTTAGCAGTCAAGATTCGTTACCGTTGATAAACAATACTCACTCTGGCGCTCCGACAGTCATGACCTTACACTTCAATTTTCCCTTATCCAAGATCTCCTTCTCCACGTCCACATTTACCCAGTGGCTTCTATACGTTTCGAGTATACCTCGCAAACCACCCGGTGCTTTCGAACATCGAACCCACTCATTCACAGCAACCTGGTCCAAGGCACTAGGATTGTAGCATTCGGCCTTCATGAAGTGCGTCCAGAACTCCTCTTCTTTCCCCTGAATCAACATCTCAGGCACATGTGGCATCCAAAAGAAAGGAATGTGCCAATTCCAAACACCCTTTTGGTTGTATTGTGCACTGATGTTGTCGCGAGTGAAGAATGATTGCTCCGTCAGCTTTTCAGAAAGCATCATTTCGCAGAAGCTGAGATGTGTCACTCTGTCGGGATACAAGCCGGCGAGGCAGAATGCATATGTACCACCTCTGTCTTCGCCATGTACAGCGAACTTCTTTTGATCTAGCTGGTTCATCAACTCAGCCATGTCGTTTGCGTTGGTGTGGCCATCATATCCATCGCTTGCGGGAGGCTTGTCCGTCGCACCAAAGCCTCGGAGATCTGGCGCAATGATAGAAAAGTGAGGCGTTAGGTAAGGAACAATCCGATACCAATAATAGTGATTTTTCGGCGTCCCATGAAGGAGAAGTAGGGGAGGTCCAGATCCTGCAGTGATGTAATGCATTCGGATCCCATTTACTCGTGCCATGTGGTGTTGGACTGGCTTGCCATCGTGGTCGTATGTCTCGGGCATCTCGATAAGACCTGTTGTCGAAGCACTCGGAAAGGTTTCGTGAGGTTTGGAATTACACGGAGCATGAAGTGGTGGTACTTACCCCACACCACTTCTACGTCATGAACGGCAGCGCTAATGTCATTGTCGCGGAGTCGCTTCCATCAAATGATGTGACACAGATGATCTTGTCGAACTTTGAACCTGTGCAACTTTAACGGTCACGTGGTGTTTGGGCGACATACATCCATGCATGCTGACGGTACTACGCAGCGAGATTGTCGCAATCTCGACCCCGCCATCCCTCGTCAACCGCGAGTCGCCAGTTTTGATTGTAGCAACGTCCCGTCATATCAGCATGCCTGGCATTCCTAGATTCCTGTGGTCGCAGATCTTCTACACCCCAAAATCGCCGCCTAAAGACTATTTTGTTGGCAAAACAGTCATTGTAACAGGCGCCAATGCAGGTCTGGGTCTCGAGGCGACCCGTCACTTCGTACGGGCAGGCGCGAGCACAGTCGTCATTGCATGTCGGACGCTGAGTAAAGGCGACACTGCCAAGAAAGAGATTGAAGAGTCTGAAGGGCGCAACGATGTGATCCAGGTCTGGGAACTGGACATGTCCTCATATGCTAGCGTGAAGGCGTTCGCTAAGAGATGCGAAGATTTGCCGCGGATAGATGTGCTGCTAGAAAACGCTGGCGCATTCACACTCAAATTCTCGCGTGCTGAACACCATGAAACGACTATTACCGTACACGTCGTATCAACCTTCATGCTGGCATTCCTCATGCTGCCTCTTCTGAAAGCATCGGCGGCAAAGACAGGAACGCGGCCCTACATCAGCATCGTCACGTCGGAAACGCACGAATGGGTGGCTTTTCCCGAGAAGCACAGCCCGAACATATTCGCTGCATTAGATGATGAGAAGACGACGAACATGATGGAGCGCTACGGCGTCTCTAAGCTTCTCCAGATCCTGGCCGTGCGCCACTTCACCAAGAACCTCATCAAAGATCCGTCCAACTTTCCCGTTGTCATCAACACTGTTACACCCGGCCTGTGTAGAACAGGACTTGTCAAAGATGTTGGCGTCCTGCCTGATGTGCTGAAGTTTTTCTTGGGTCGCACAGTTGAGGTGGGGAGCCGAAGATATGTCAATGCTGTCGGGCCTGTAGGCAATGGCAGTATGGGTCAGTACGTCCTCGATGATTCTGTATGTGATCCTGCACCTTTTGTACTCAGCGAAGAAGGCTCCCAGTTGGCCAAGAGGGTGTGGGAGGAATTGGTCGAGATCTTGGAGGAGGCGTGCCCTGGTATCACGAAGAATATCGCAGATTGATGATTGCTTCACCAGCGCCGCTTCCATCTTACTTGATGTACGGATGATGTTCATCGCGTTTGAATTCGGACCTGCGGTATTCGCTCAGGAGTTGTAACTGCTATCGATTGCGCTAAATGAGAATCTTTAAACAGCCTAGCGCCGGTGAAACTGCGATTGCACCATCGCTTTCAACTCTTGTGAAATCCCAATACTCCACCTCCAATCTTTCACTTTCATTACAACAATCATCCATGATACTGAAAAGAGGTATTGTTCATTCAATCATCAGTTATTCAAGCGAAGAATCTATCTACACATTGATCCACCTTCCCATCCATGTGTCAACAACCTGCTTGGCTTCGTCTACCAGCCCCATGTCCAAAAGGAGCTGGGTTGTTCCACGCACTGCGGAGTCGAGCGCGGAGAAGATCCAGGCATGCGTGTATGAGGTGTGCTCGCCAATGAAGATGGACTTGAACTCTGTGTTATAGTAGGCAGGAAGGTACAAGTCCTGCTGGCCAGCCAATGGTGCCGCCCAAGCTCCAGCCTGGTGCTCATCAACCTCCCAGCACTGTCGGTCGTATGCACCAGTGAACTGCTCAGCTGCAATCTCGCCATGGACCTCGACCATCGCGCGTTGTGCGTAAGCGACGTGATCGGCAGTGCTGAGAGCAGCAAGCGAACGTGCGGGCGTGCCAGATGAGTACGATGCCAGAATGACACCAGGCAAAGAAGAGTTGATCTTGTACGCGGGATAGCAAACGGAACCGATGCCCGCAATGTCGACAGCACCACAGCCGCCGATTATAGGCGGGCTCAATTTCTCCCAGAAACGTGTCTTGTAGTGAAGAGCAACTTTGCACGATTGTTGGTAGTTCATGCTGCTGATAGCGCGCGACAGGAGCGAAGAGTACTTGGGAAGATTCCAAAGTCGGACCTTCGAAAATGGCGCGGCGACAACAGCATAGTCGAACTCCTCACTTTGCGGCTTCATCGCGAATGGATCCTGGCGCCACTCAAGAGCCACCTTGCCGGTGTCGTTGTTATACTTCAGACCCGTGATCTTGCGACCCAGGGTCAGACGGTCCTGGACCAAGGGGAAGAAAGCGCGAGGAAGCGATTCGAGGCCCTTATCAATCGTCCGCCAAGTGGTTGCACCAAAGTAGCCAGAATCGTACTCCCACAATGGGGCCGAGTTTAGGGAACCCGCCATGTAGTCGGCAAGATCTGCGCTGACATTGAGCGCATAACGAAGGTATGCATATTCCGACCAATTGAACAGGCCCTTGTCGACAGCATCCCTGTGAGCTTGGTACACGTTTCGCGACATGTTCTTGATCACCTCTGTGCTCAGGCCTTCGAAGTGCTCGAATTTCTCCTCAGCCTGAGTCTCGGCTTCTTCGTCAGAAAATGCTGCAGCAGGCAGAACCAGAGAAGAGTTGGCTTTGACCTGAGCTGCGCTTGGAATGCGACTATTCGGTAGGCGATACCCGTTTGAGTTCGCAGGTACATTTGGGCTACTTTGGATCCATGGAATGAACTTAACCAGCAAATCACTCTTGTTCCCGTTCAGCTGGTTCAATACGTCTCCAAGCTGGAAGACCATTTTGTGGTCTTGGATGTCCAAGGTCTCGTTTGTGTCCGCGTACTTGGTCGAGACGGGAAAACGCATTGGACCCATTTCTTGGTACTGGTATTGGTCCGGAGTAGTGCCGGCGAGATACTTGGTGCGGATACGTCCTCCAATTCGTTGCGAGGACTCCATGATGTGCCAATCGTGGATACCCACAGAGTCCAATAGAAGACTGGTTAACAGGCCTGCCATTCCTCCGCCAACGATACCAATCTTTTTGCTCTTCTCGACTGCGATAAAGGACGCGTTGTTTTGCTTGGACTGCATGTACGCGACCCCATCGAACCACGGGCCCATCATGTCAGCAACCTTCGAGATCTCCTCTCGCTTCCGTGGCTGATGCTTGACGGAGACTGGCGCCGAACGACCGAGAAGTCTTGAGCCCGAGTATGCGTGTAAACAACCTGCATGTGCTGCATCTTTGGGTACAACCCAAACCAGACGCTCGGGACGCGACGACCGTTTGATCCAAGAAGAACCAATTTCGTGGTGCCGTGCATCAACACCGGTCATATCACAGTCTCCGTAAACTACACGGACGTCTCCTTCGAACGCGTCGTCCCCGTAGGTGATATGAACATTGTGGACAGAGTCGGATGTAACTTCAACCGGCTTGAAGAGAATGATGTCTGAGCGAGGGGAAACAGGTGTTGAAAGAGCTCCGCTAGCTAACGTAAGTGCAGCGGAGGAAGCAGTGATGAAGCTCTTCATCTTGAATGACACAAGATGCAGATGTTGATCAAGTTGTTGATCGCAAATCAGTAGGAGACCCAGCTTATATTACAACTCCAACATTCCAAGCTCACACGTCGGGTGTCGCCTCTCATTCTCGTTGGTCATGACACTGCGTTATCACAGACGGTCGGGCATCTTCGCAATCTTGGATAGAACAGGCCATGCTCACGCCGACGCCGCCCATGCAACGGCACATCCAAACAATGCATATGCGATAAGAGCAATGCAACGGGATCAGTGGGACCAAGAGACGGATTCAGGGTGCGGTTCGCGACACGTCAAAAATCTCTTTCCCACATATTCCACAGGGCGTGGTCGAGACGCTTTGCAGTAGCGGCCTATGCAACCGTAGTCATAGTGTGGAGGTCACAACCCAGCACAGGATCGGCAATGCACTGCTTACAACACAGATAACGGGCGAAGATGCCTTGTTCCGGTCCAGTCTCAGCCTTTTGGGACTTTACGAGCCGACATTGATGGAGCAACTACTTCGGAAATTTTCTCGTGGCCCCAAAGTACCATGAATCATCATGGCCGACGTTTCCCCGAGGTGAAGAATGTTACGATAAAGAAGCGGCGTCCATGAGAAATCGGCAGTGTATCTCCTAGTCTGACAAGCGAGTTGCGGATGACTGATGCCGAAGGGAACCGACAAGCCTTCCAGAATCGCTCACGGCCTGCTCCACCAGTTCTTCCGAGTCAATACCCTAGGATTGTCAACTCCTCACGTGGGACAGTAAAAAAATAGGCGATTCTAACGTTGTATCCGGCTCCATTGCGGAGATGGCAGCTCTGGTGCAACTGTGAGATCTCATGGAGACCTCAGTCATGGTGACCAATCACATGACGGAGCACACGCCACTTTACACGAATAGTGGAGTGGAGCGATAGGTATCGATAACAATAAGGCGGGCGATCTTAGCATGCATTTCTTATCTTGACTTCACAATTTTGTTATCTAAAGTTACGTTAAAACTAATTCCATTCTCTGCATGAAGGAGCGCTTATGGCGCAAATCTACGTATGAAGGGCGCAGCGCCAAGGCTGAACGCGCTTCAACGGTACCTTCTACGCTGTAGCCTGTCCACCCTTTGCATTACTACGCAAGTATAGACGTTGACCTTCCTCTTCTGGTATCTTCGGCATGCTTCCGAAGCACTGTATCCCACGAGATACACTTCGGCAGTCAGCAAATCCCGCACAGTAAGCCAGAGCGATGACCGGAATACACGAATCGTCAGCGGACCATTCCTTGATCCGAACGTTGAACGAAGGCAATTACCAATTGTTAGGACCCTATCTGAGCATTGCAGAAATCTACAGGGCCGACTTGTAGTCGGTGGAAGCCCGCCATCTTGGCAACTGTAATGTCCAACAAGCGTGTACCCGGTCTTTGGCTCTGACAACTCTTGGAAAGCATGGCATGCACCGCCCAGAGACTATTTGTTGGGCCCTTGTTTTTTTGGAATCGATTCGCTGCTCGAATCTGAGAGTATAAGAGTCCTGGTAAGCCTCTTGTAGACTACGTATCGAAATATCAATTCCGAGCATAATTACCACATCCACTACATACCAACTCATCAAATTACATTTGACATCACCAACATGGTATCTTTCACTTCCATATTTACGACTTTCCTCGCTGTTGCGAGTATCACTATCGCCAAACCCACGCCCAAGTCCGCCCCACAGCCAGTAGTCACATACCTCGGCACACAAGGACCTATCCTGTGTATGCACTCATCGCAATGTATATGCAACTAATGAAACCAACTAATTTGTCAAACAGCAAGCGGCGCATGGACTTCTAAAGGCATAGTGTACACCTCCGGCACCGTGCCAACCTTCAACGGCTCAATCGTCGCTGGTGGCATTGAAGCACAGACCGTACGACTCACACGACGCTTGATTAATCCATTTACTGACAGAATACAGGCACAAGTCATCAAGAACATTGGTGTTATTCTGGAGGAAGCCGGTACATCTTGGGACTATGTCATGAAGACGACTGTCTTCTTGGCAAACATGAGTGATTACACTGCGATGAACTCGGTTTACAGCGCTATGCTTCCGTCGCCCAAGCCCGCGCGCACTGCTGTCGAGGTTGGCAAGCTTCCTGGCGCGTTTTTGATCGAGATAGAGGCTATTGCCGCTATTCCGGACGCTTGATTGAAGTAGTGTGTGGTTTTAGATAGCGAGCCGAAATCGAACATAGCAATGATAAAATCTCATGACAAACAATCCCTTTTCAATAACTACCATCATGATTAAACGGTGACATAACCACTTTCTTCCTCACCATGATCCGCTCCCCATTCTTCGTGCTTTAATGACACGCTCACACTGCCATCGCTCGCTCTCTTGTCGACATAAGCTGCACGGTGGTTCGAAATCACTTCCCTGCATATAAAGCATACTAGGGCCGCCCGATAACATGGTCGTCCCCATCGATGGCGCCATCTCCCGGCGTCAGTTCGTCCAAACACCCACTCTCCAGCAACGCCCTGTCGATCTTCCATCGCCCATTCGCACAGCACAATACCCTATATGGCCACGCGACCCCGACCCCATGCCACCGGTACATCCGACTCCGACCTCGCAGCGATCTTATGTCCAGTAATCGCGACGTCCTTCCAACTCAACGCCTCGCAATTCAGTGTGCCTTTGAACTTGCGACAATCGTTACCAACGAAGACGATGTAGCCCAGTCCAGTCTCCACGTCATCGCTCTCGCTAGCCTTCCTGCTGAGTTTGGGACTTGATGGTCGCAGGGATGTTGGCGTGCCGCTCCATCGGAACCAGAATTTCGGGGAGCGGAAACTGTTCTTTTCGAATGTTTCGAAGCGGTTGGGTTCTTCCTCGTCTTCTTCCTCGTCATCGTCTTCATCTTCGTCGTCGTCCTCGTCTTCAACTATTTCGACTGTTCGCCGCAGGCTTTCTCGGCTGGCGGCTAGGACGACTGCGGCTATCAGTGCACCGGGCATTGTGAGTTCACCGACGACGCCCTCGCCGTTTTCTGTCATGCGATAGAGCTCCAACGATGCGGCTTGATCGGAAGACACATCCTCTAGTTTCTGCCATGCCGGACATTTCACTTCATAGCTGCCGAATGTTTTGCGCACGTCGAAGGTGCTGCGTTTGGATTTGTTGCCTCTATTGTTGTGTATGTGCCTGGAGGAGAAGGCCGCATCTTGCCAGTCGTCGCTCATGGCTTTCTGTAGTATTGTGATGAGCAGGTAATCGGACTGATGAAGTGGCTTTGTTCGAGCCCTTGCCGGGGTCGCGTGCCTTGTGTAAGTCGGGTAAGATGATGACGTCACTAGTGATTGCACTATAATAAGGTATGCTGAGAGGACTATCTTCCATTCGATCTAGATCGAGATATTCACCAATGTCGGTAACAGGGTGGGCATGCAATATCAATATAATTGAAAGCACATTTCATCATTCTATGTCATTCTTTTGGTGCAGCCTGAGAATAGAGTCAATCAAGCGTCCTCCATCTCAAACTCCATCATCATCTCGTCGTATTCGACACCCGCAAGAAGACCCTTGTTGAACTGCTGACGTTGGGCAGCCAGGACACCGTCCCTAGCACGTTCGTGCTTCTCCTTTCCCAGTTGATATACCTCTTGGCTGTGTCCGAACATCTCCTTTTGCTTTGCGATGAGACGGAGTCTGCGGTCACGGGCCTTGTCTTTGGGAATATCGAGACGTCCTCGGAAGATGTCGGTGTTGAGGCCTTCGGCGACTTCTGCGATATCCATGTTCATGGAATAAGGGTCGTCTTGTGACTCTGGCTCGTCTTCAGATCTGGAAGGGCTTCGACGGGTACGACGGCCTCGAACAGTCCTTGAGGGCGCTAAATTTTGGCCAGACCTACCATAGGGGGTATGGCGGTAGGTGTAACGCGATTCTTCCCTGCTCTTGGCCTTGCTCGGAGGCGCCGGAAGCGCTGCAGGGTCCGCTGCCAGTCCGACGGGTCGTTGTTGTAAGAGCTGGCCAGCGACTAGGCCTTCAAATTCTCCAGCAAGTGAGCGGGGCTGGTTCGCTTTACCTAGGCTTGCCGGCGCACCTTCTACCGGCGCCTCTCGAGATAGCCGCCTGTTGTTGCTCGAACGATCGCGCACCTGCTGTGGTGTACAATGGCGGCTCCTGATGCTTTGGACATCCACAGGTGCATTGGAACGCTGCACCCTAATGGCCTCGCGATCAATCATCCACTGCGGAGTGGGATGGAGACTCTCAATCCCATTGGGTGCGTCTTGAATGGGCGTCTGGGGGCGTCACCCGTGAACCGATGTAAGTCCCTCAACCGACCTTTTGGCCTTCTTTGATACTCCCATTAACCCATAGCAATCTTTCTCTGAGGCTTTGGAGCTTGAAATTATGATGTTTTAATTAACTTGGCGTAACAAGCTGCGCGGCTGTTCCATCTCTTTGCCAAAAACTGGATCTATGAGACGATATGGGTCGTACTCAGACATCTCAGAGCCATGGTCTGACGTATGGGAGGGAACACTGTAATGGGGGCGCTGCTGAACAAGTGGTGAAGTTTTGTCCTGAAGCCCGTCTCCCGTTACCTCGCCCTGAGAGACATGTCCTGGAGCCGCGGAATCGGCGATGGTAGTCTCATCATCCCATCCATCAGCGATGATGTCGTAGATGCCCTCTTCCTGTTGGCTCGCATTCAGTGCGTCGCCGATAGATGCTGGACGCGAAATTCGTGGCGAGGAAGCCATTGAGCGACCCCTCCGAAGCTCTGGTTTTGGGGATCTGCTTGGGGATTGAGCCAGCAAGTGCGCTTTGTTCTGCCGGTGTATCTTCTCGAGCTCTTGCAGAGCGTGCTCGAGGTCAAGTTTCCCAATCCACATGGTCGTAAGATCGCCATCAGCCTCCTTGAAGGTCCTCGGTATCGAGCACCACTCTTTTAGAATCTGGTCCAAGACGGATCCGGTGCTCAAGCCATCTTCGACTAGTAGGCATATTTCTTGGAGCGATGGGATAAGAGGCGATAACCACGGTATGAATTCCGATTCATTGGTATCGGGCCGCATGCAGGGACCGAAGAAATCCTCCCCCTGGTTGAGGTTAAACAAGATCTGGATCGACTTGAGTGTGTCGATGCAAGCGATAGCTCCCTCGACATCCTCTTGCGTCAAATGTTGAGCCTCGTCCGCAGGGACTTTCAGAAGCCGATCGTTTAACTTGACCCCCAGAAGGCGCAGTGAATGGTCAAGGGATGGGTCCCCTTCAGCTAGTTGAGCTAGGGAGTTGGCCATGTATTCAGGCGTGATAATTTGGGATGTCTTATGCGGGCCCAAGTGGTTGAGGGAGGGAATGGGGTCGATCGTCGGGGTCGGGTGCTTTGTTTACGTTAGAGCGAAGCGCATGAAAGAATCGATACAGCTAGCCAATTTTAGTGCAACCATTGTTCACCAAGGCTATCACGGCAATTTGGTAGCTTTACAAAATGTTTTTCGTTAAGGATCGCCACAGACTTTTCACTTTGAGTCTGCGGCGATGGGTCAGGCCGCCTACACGCGTAACACGAACAGCTCAGGCTTATTTAGAGAGACAAAAAGCATACTAATGGGACCGCTAGGAATGTCTGATTCAATGACTTTGGCGGACATTCTCAATATCGAGAAGCGCGATCTCGTACCTCGTGCGGGCGAGATCTCTCTCTCTCCTCCACGATCTCTCGACGGCGTAACGCTCTCAGTCTAAGCGCAGGCCTGCAATTCGCTGGGACGGGAGGTAGAGGGCGTTCAAAATCTACATTATTTGGCTTGGGATCAACGATAGCCTCAGGTGCCATAGGCGCTGCCCGAGCAACGTCCCTTCTTCTCCTCATCGTCCATTTTGGTGGTGTAGGGACTGTGTCGAGCCTAGGTGTGAGCGCCTCCAGCTCACCAGGCGCCCACTCCAGTGTGGAACATCGCACCAGAAATATATGGCGCTTTAATACCGGCGCGACGTCCTGAGCCAAAAGAAACGGCGCGCTCTCGCGGTAGCGTCTCAATCGGAGACGCCAGACATGCACCAGATCGCGTACTACTGCTTTGCGTGTCTCCTGTGTGATTCTAGCAACATTTCCAAGGTCATGGACTAAGTCTTCATGCCAGTGTTGAGCTGTGCCTCCAGGTGAAATCATGCGTGGGATGCATTTCGTTGCCGATTGGAGTCGCCAGTTATCGCAGATCCAGTCCAGATGCGTGTTGAGAGGACCAATTGGGATTTTGCCGGTGTGAGCGTAGGGTGGTGCCATTTTTGAAACTTATGGCTGTTAAGGTGTTGGCTTTGGGAATCGAAATATACAATTTCATAAAGTCTGAGGTTGCCGCTGACTTTGTTAGCAAATGGACAGACAAAGACGTACAATAGGTAAAACTTGGTACAAGGACACGCGAATTCTCTTTGTCACAGTACATGTTTATCTCCGTGCTTTCTTTGTGCAAAAATACTCGCAATTGGAGGCGTTGTACAGGCTTGGCACTACATATCGTGATGCTGTGCTAACATTCAACATGGAGAAAGCACAAAATGTGGGACATGGACGTATATCAACTTGATGCTTACTTGGGTATATAATCAACCTCAATCCTCATATCCATCACCTCATTGAAGTGCGTAATCTCCTGAGCCAGCGCTGCCCTACCATTGCACTACTATGTAGCCTGCTGGTCGTAGATGCTCATAGTAGTACCCACTGCCATATCCACGTGCAATCTACCTCGTAGGCGTTGTTGGGGGTGGGGGAACTGCGGCAAGTTCTGGCCCGGCGGATACACAACGCCATAAGACGCCGTGAAAATGTGCCGTCATCGTCTGAATATATCTAGGCCATGAGTTCCGGTGAGTCTGTCATGCGTGCGTGGATGACCGATGCGATGGCATTAATCTATTATGCGAGTGGGCTGATTAGAAGACTCAAGCCCGTACAACCTTCAACGGATCTCTCACCCTCGCCGCATCCATATCCTCCCTAATATCCCTCTCTCTCGCCCGCACCCGCGCCTCATCCGCCGCCCTCAACTGCTCATTCTCCCTCCTCATCTCCGTATCGCGCACATGGCCAAAAACCCTCTTGATATTCTTCAAATCATCAACAGTTAAATACGTCGCTCTCTTCGCTACTTTCTGACCGGATTTGGGTTTGACAGAACATCGATTTTCAACAGTGGAGTGGCATTTCTCTCGGAATAACGTGAGCTCGGAGTGGCGCACAACGTGCGAAACTGCCTCCAGTTCTTTTTGGAATGCAGCGCTCCAGGTGCTAGAGGAATGCCGGTTTTGGGGGTGGAGATTGTAGGGAATGATGTCGGCGACGTCGGTAATGTGCCATCGTGCGTTGATGGTGCGGAGGGCAGCGCTACTTGCGCCAGGAAGGGAAAGTTGCGACGTCTGACTAGTGATTGGAGCTGCCATGATGGCCTTTGCTGGTGGTTCCAAGGGAAGGGGTTGGTGCTCAATTACAAAATGTGATGAGTTTGTGAGAACAGATTGCAAAGTCTTAATGCTGATAAATGTGTTCGAAATTTAGAAAAAAAAAGATATTGGTTAACAGAAAAGTTGTACACTAGTAGCAGTCGCTATAATTTGCTCAGGGTCTTTGGTGCGTACCATGGTTGCGACCTTGGTGAACCAACTTTTGGAAGCCCCATCTAGGCTGAGGCATCAACAACTTCAAGCAACGACTGTACCATGGTAGATGAAATCAGAGAACTTGCTTGCTTTGCGAAGGAGATGGAAAATGCGATTGCAATATCGACTGCAGACCACCGATCCTCATTGCTAACCTTTGCAGCATCTCCCCCGCTTCCCGAAACTGCTCCACTCCAGGGCCAGCTGAAATGACCGTTATGAGCGGGGATATGCTTCGCAGTAAGTCAAAACCGGCTGTCTGCGCCTTCTCCATGTTCGAGAAGCCGCGCAAGATTGCTTTAGCGCAATGGGTTGCGATATCGAAGTGCTCCGCAGCAGCGGCTGGTGGCATGAGCGGCAGCGCCTGTGTGCCCATTTTGTACAACATCATGTTGAGTATGAGTTTTGTTGAGACATAATTCGACGCGAGCAGCGCAATGAAAGTATCTGGGAGCGGTGCAGTGGCCAAGGCTTCGTTGCTGATGTCGAGTCCGTGTCCCGATCGGTCGCCAACTTCGTAAACGTCTTTCGAATCTTTGGTGATTTGAGTCAAGTTAGGGTACATGGCAGCCCAGTTGACCAGGTCGGCCATCAATTTGTTCGTGAGCTCCCGACATGGCTCAACATCTATGCCAGGCGCGAGTGGCGTCGAAAAGAACGATCGCAAAGATCCCTCGAACTGCAATTTCTGCATAGCCACTGGTATCATGAGTTCAATATCCGCTAGCTGCTGGTGAGCATCTCGAGGCATGCCAATGAAAGGGATTGTCATCCACTCCGGGGAAGCATATATGGAGGTTTTGCCAAACACTATTCCCCGACGAGCCTAGACTAAGTCAGCATTCAGTGTATAATTATGGTATTGCGCATCATTGATCCATACTTCAGCATTTCTTATACCCTTGAACAAAGGCCAAATGATGCCGGTCTTGCAGTTGTGTGGCCCTCGCATATTCATCAGCCTCGCAGCCGCTGCGAGATGGATCATAGCCCCTGTTGCCGTCGTTCCGCAGTATGTCTCATACAGTGCCAGGATCAGAGGGACCAAGACCTCACTTTCTTCAGGGATTTGATCTCCCTTTATCCGGGAGATTGATTGTCGCTGAGCACTCAAACCCACAGTGTACCATCTCCACGAATCGATTAGAATGCTTGGGTCGTGATGCAGTTTCGCGTAGAATGCCATTGACACTGCACGTAAGGACAATTTTACAGCTGGCTTTGTAGCATTAGCATGTATACGAGGCAGATGGCTTAACCACTGGATTTCAGGCGAGTAACTTTTGGTACCCGAGTTCAGTTGCACGTAGTGAGACAGAAAGGCGTTGTCTAAGGCCTCGGGATGGACCTTCGTAGGCTGATAGAATGTTGGTGGTCTATACTGGTAACGGATGGCCGTCACCGCACGTTCAACATCTTCAGTATATCGTCTTTCTACTGGGAACATGGGGTTCGGAACTGGCATATCGACTGCTTTTGTCTTCCGATGGAGTTCTATTCTCGGAAGAGTTGTTTTCGGCGCTTGCGCTGTATCGTTGTCGGCCTTTCCGCGGATAGTCACGGCCGCTCGTGTGCTTTCTTTCTTCTTCCGTCCTCGAGTTTTGGATCTTTCCGTCATGTCGATGACGATGGCCCCAAAAGAAGGCCCTGAGCAGGCCAAGCCCAGGCGACGACATTCGTTGCAAAACTCCGGAGTCTCGTCACACTGGCGTAATATGATCAGTTCACATTCGTCAGGACAAAAATAAGGCGTACCTTGACGCGCCGCTCCCTACATTGAGCACAGCCTCTGCTGCGTTGCGACTTGGGCGCCATCTTATATGGATGATGTCAAAGGGTAGACGATTGCCGCACCGGTAGATTGAAAGAGGGAATTTCAGCGATTGGCAGAGTGGGCGTCGCATCGTGATATGAAAGAAAGTGGAGCCCAACGGCGCCGGCACCTATGAATGGCATTGGTTTATCAACGTTGGCTCCAATGCAACGCCAGAGCTCGACTGGGCATAGCGTATCTGAATATGTCGAGGGCGTAACTATTTGGGTATCAAGTCGATGACAATGTTCGCAGTCGTGCATGAACCGAAGCCATCCATGGATCTCTAGGGGTGGAGCTGCATGTGCGTATCCGCTAGACCGCGGAAGAGCCAGCCGCCGCCGAGGGCCAGGGTCAGCCTGGCTCTAGAAAGAAATATTGACCGCGGAATTCGAAGATCAAAACGTATTATGCTCTTTGGTTTTGCTTCTGACCTGATAAGGCCTACATCCTTTGTTGACTGCTTGTAGTTTTGAGACCTGACAACCTCGCCGCTCGTGAGATAAGGCTCTGTCTCCGCGGCAATCGCCGCGTGCGAGATGGGGCCGAAGAAGCGCGACCACAAGCTGAGTGCCGTGCCATGACACGACATTAGATGACATTCGCCTAGCTGCAGCTCTCCACACCACAAGCAGCGGTTTGAGCGTCTAATATTTCGCGTTTTAACGGCTCGCATGCCGAGGATGCTGCAGTCGACGCGGGCGCTGTCACTTCCGCGCGCCCCTGCGACCGAAATATCTTGTATGACACCATTAATGATAGCAACATTACGAGCCTGCGTAAGCATTAGGGAAAGCGCAGAATACCGCAAGCTTACACAGCGTAGATCCAATGTCGGATGGATCCTCTTAAGAAGTAATCCGGTCATTTGATGACACCAGGTTTCTTTTACAGACAAAATGACAATCTGAGTTTCAGCATCCTATCACAGTTGTGTAACTTGAAGAACTTTCTATTCTTCGTGCATGACGCTAAGTATGTCCCTACCAAATGCGGTGAGCTGCGTGCCTCCACGTCCCGACATGACAGGCAAGATGTCTTTCCTGCGAGGCAACTCACCCCTGTCGAGTGATTCTCGACGCGAATACCTGGATAGCGGTCGTAGGCTGTAACCAAATTTGTCACCCACATACATTCGCTGGAGACATGTACTTTAACGCAACCCGAATCATGTACATACTAGCCTTGACTCTGCGGTATATTCATTCAATTCAACATATATGCAAAACCAACGAGCATCATGAATCGATAAGCCTCAGAATCGGCCCTATCTTCATACCCTTCCCTTTTCTCTACAACTCCCCCTTCTCACCCTTCCTCTTCCCCTGCTCCTGCAACTCCTCCATATGCTTCCCATGGTCCTCTACCTTCTGCTTATCCGCTGCAATATTGCTTTCACCATGGCTCGCTAGATCCTCGCGCCAACGGCCCTTGCCTTCCTTTTGCTCGCGCAACTGGTCTTGCTTGGCTGCTTCGACTTGTTCGGGTGTGCGGTTGGCGTCTTCTTTGATGCGCTGCATGGGAGAGGTGGTGAAGGTGCGGATGGTGGGGAGGCGCGTGATGGGGCGCAAGGTGGTGAGGGTGCGGGAGGCCATCGTTGCTAGGTAACTTTTGAGGCTGTCGTTTTAAAGGTAGGATTGGAAGATGTTATAACGTTTGGAATGGGATTGAGTGTATGAACGAAGTGTGAGCGAAAGTTTGTGGGATTGCTGGTGGGTAAACACTTTGTGACGTCATTTGCATGAGGTCTCCATCCATGCAGCCGACCAACCGAATCTCATGTCTCGGCATAGTTGCATGTCAGATGTATCTTTGGGTGATCATCGAGAGGTTTGAGCGTGAAACTGTTATTTGTGCTGTTTAGTACGCAGTCACCAGGAGTAGACTCCGCACAACTAGCCCACCCAGCCACAGACTACAGATCCAATATAATGGTACCGACACCTCTACTGACACAGCTCAGCATCGCATCAGCTTTTTCATCTTCCATGAGCCCCGTGCCTCTATGCTCGATTCTTCCAGAGCAGACGGCAACCTTACACGTCCCGCAGTTGCCGACTTCGCAAGAACTGTCAATGTCCATCCCGATAGCCTTCAATGCATCGAGCAGCGATTGTGAGGCGCCAACCTCTAGCGTCTTTTTACTTTCCTTCAGCTCGACTGTGAATGGGTCGCCGGATGTTGTGACCGTGAATTGCTCGAGATGGACGCATGCTTCGGGAACGCCGTATTTCTTTGCCGTGTTCCCGACATCGTCCATCAAACGTTCTGGACCACAAGTATAGATGTGCGAGCGATCCTGCGTGCGCGAGATGATCTTGTCGACGTCCAGCCTTTGGCTTTGGGTTTTGTCGTAGATAGTAGCGTTGGACCCAAGCGCATCAATCTGCGATGCGTAAGGCACTTCTCCTGTGTGCGCATAGTGCAGATGAAACTTCTGGTTCGTCTGCTGCAGGTACTTGAATGCGGGCAAGAAGGCCGTGATACCAATACCTGCAGAGATGATAACATGTTCATCTGCGTCAGTCGCTAGGGGAAAACTCGCGGTAAAGCGTCCCACAATCAGGACGTCGCCAACCTTTGCTTGCTCGTGGATGTACTTAGACCCTCCACGACTCTCTGGAGAAAGCTGGATACCGAGTTCAAAACGACTTGAGTCTCCGGCGACGACAGAATAAGCACGGACGAGCTTCCCACCTAGCTTGAGTCGGACATGACTGCCGGGCTCTACTGGCGATGGGTTTGCAATGTCGTCGACGGCTTCGAAAACGAATGCTGTGACTCTGCTCGTTTCCTGTCTCTTTTCTACGAGGCAATACTCGTTCCATGCGTCCATCTTGTCCGACTCTTCACCATACATTCTCCCGTTCTGATCTTCTGGCGTGCCGGTGGCCAGTCGCTTTTGGAACTTATTCTTGACATCAGCGCTCAATGGCCCGATTTTCACAATTTCTTTCATCATTTCCAGATCTTTTGTGTCGATGAACAAATAGTACATGACTCTCGCAATCGTCCACTCCGGATACGGGCGTTCCAGCAGTCGAATCATGTCCCCAGCTTGTACGAAGCCAGGCTTGATGATGCGGTACAGCCAGCCTGTTCTGAACAGCGTTTGCGTTCTCTTCGCCATGTCTTTGACTTCGAACCGGTGGTTTAGCTTGTAGCATGGCCCTCGCGGCTCGGTAACCTCCACGACAACCTCACCAATGGCGATGCGATCGCCAATGCAAAGCGTCTTCTCACTGACTTCGTCGTTGAAGAAGTTTTCTCCAAAAGCGCCCGGCTTGAAATGAGATTCTGACGCAGGCAGCTCCTTTTTCCAGTCATCGTAATGTGTGGTGCAGTAATGGAGGAGAGCGTTGTCCGGGCTTCTGTGAGCTTCATAGGCATGCTCATCGCCCTTGATGCCACCCATAGTAATCTCAATAGGGCCTGACAAGGGTGTCTTGAAAATGGCGGACTGAAATGGGCCAAATTTCTTGACCTTGCCAGCACGCAGCTGCTTGAGTGGGAAGGGCGCGAAAGGTGGGGGATTTGTAAGAGTATTCGGGTCAGGAGGCGTCGGCGGAATCCAATTTGATCGCGCCATGATGAATTGTATGGTTTTTTTAAACAAATGGATGGCTGCTGCTGTCCTTTTTATGTTAGTTCCAGGACAGTTGATGTCCACGCCTTAGCCGTATCGATATTTGCCTTCAAGGGTGGCTTGAGGGTGCCTGGCACGTGATGGCAGACCGTGAGTGATACAGATGCGTCAAGCCTCGACCCTTTACCACGAAGCTCGTTGTTATAGTGACTGGGAAAGCGCCACGATAGCTGTACACATGATTCTCAAGCAAAAGCCGAGTCAAATCCCGATCCGATAAAATTGCGGATTTCGCGCAATCCTCCAGGAGCTTACGAGGTTTCAACCAATCGAAGAGAGATGGAAGATCGCATTAAGGGACCTTCTGTAAACAATTTAGATTCCGGAATCGTGCTAAACGACTCAACGCGTTTTTAGCTCATCGGCGGGTCAGGCCGCTCATACACAAACTTTCAAGCTGGGCTGATGAGAGTCATCTGTTCAATTTCGTACACATATCTCGAATTTGCGAATATCGCAATAGCTCCGCTGCCTGCGTACTGACTGTGTTAAGTTGCATTCACACAAGAACGCGCCGTTCCTGAGATCGGCACGACGTTTTTCGTTGGACGTGCCTTCACCGAAGGATCATATCGCGCGATCGTCGGTGCATCGAAACTATAAGAATAGGCAGGGTAGCCATGAAAGACACGAGAAAGTTGTAGCGTCATTGAAAAGGAGTCGAAGAAGTGCAATGCGACATCGTGTGGACTCAGACACTGGAGGACACGTGACCAAAGCTTGGCTCGACTAAAGTTGCTGTGACGTCACTCTGCCCTCAGAGCAATGACAGCTTCAGTTGCATTGCAAAGCTTCTCCCTTGACACAACACGAATCAAGAACTCTCAAATTAACTCCCATAACCAATTGAGGAGTCAAAAACATTCCGGCTATAAAGAAAAGAACACGAATCCTGATTTTACCACTTCACAACCAAAAATATGTTTCGCTTCCAACCCGCACGCACTCTCCAGCGTCTCACACGCACCGCCCGCCCTTCAGCCCTCACTCCTCGCTTCATCAGCATATCGCCCGCCCGATTCGCCGCAAAAGATTCACAAGACAAAGATTCGCTAAACCCAACATCGACCGAGTACTCAAAGTCCGGGTCAGATGACGCAGCCGCCAGCTCAGACGCCGCATTCAACCCCAAGAAGACCAGCCCTGAAGAAGCCGAGGCCACTGCGGAGAGGGAAGCAGGAGGCAAGGACAACTCTTTGAATGCAAGCCCAGGTAACAAGGACATTAGCGAGCCAAACGACCCCGGTGCCGGAGGAGTTGGTGCGCCGAGCAGGAAGGGTAGTGGTGGTGGAAGTGCGCCAAAGAGCGGCGGCGGCTCGAGCGGTTGAAGATACACACGACAGTCTATAAGATATACGGCGTGGTAAAATAAGGAGCAATTGAGGCTATGGCGCATATGGAGCATGAATAGCATAAATGCATCAAGTGTAATGATCTATGCTTCCAGTCTCTTCGCTAATTTACAATCATTGCTAGCAGGTGTTCGACCATAAATGTTGGGCTCAAAAAGGAGATGGTCTGTATCCACACTCTATTAATCGCAAGACCAGCTCGCCGTCAACCACGAGAATCACTACATATGTCAACACTGCTCTCACCTCATCCAACACAAGACGAAACGGGAACTTGGTCCAGTGGTAAGACGTTCGCACAACACTAAGATCTTGCACTCCTTGTGCGGATCCAGTACTTAGCCGTACTGGAGTACTCTGTACCAGAGTGATCTATGCGAAAGACCTGCGTTCGATTCGCAGGATGTCCATTGCTTTTTGCCCACGCAGTTTCATATTCAAAGTTCGATTCGAAAGACGTGGTATCCTACAACCCCCAAAACGCCCAACCAAAAACGCCAGAACCATGCCCAAAGCCACCTGGGGCGCCCAAATGCTTCTAATCATCCCACCTCATATTGAGTATCAACTCCTCCACCTCCTTGCTCTCCAACCCCTTGCTCTCCTCCTTAACGGTCCTTTCCCCCTCCATCACCCAAAGTCATAGCCGACCGTTGAAAGCGGTATACGCGGCGATTGGCCAGCCGAGAATGACGGCGTAGAATGGGAAAAAGCTGCCGGAGGTGTTAGTAAGGTGGAGGATGTGAATGGGTAAGGGAAACGTACACAGCACTAGTGCGAACCATTTTCTTGCTCAAGTCGCCTGCGCGCCATGTATGCGGCTTCACGGACAAGGGGTTGCGAGCGAAGGGGTGGGGCTCGACCATGTTGCGGGTCAAGGTGCGGAGCATGGCGCGGATTGGTGTAGCGGAAGGCATTTTGTTTGGTTTGGTTGGGTCTGATTTGGAAAGCAGAAGCCGATGTTTGGTTGGTTTGAGTGTAGATTTGGTAGTACAAGGAACTGATTGGAGTGTAGATGTCCCGAATGTATGGTCTATTGTTTGAATGTGATGATTGAGTGGAGTGTGAATTCTACAATGCATTGTGTAACAGCACATATATACCTACCCAGGTACCGGGACACGACACGACACGACATCACGAACGTCTTGCAGAGCAGAAAGCATGTCGAACCACCTGCATCACCTGAGATGCTGACGCCGAACGAAGTGTGTCCGGGCGCATTGAGCATGTCAGAGAGGAATTACTAGGTCAGCAGAATGATTGATGTTGGATAGGGGAATCTGGCCAATGGAGTGCGGCGCTTTGATGATTGGTGATGGGGCGCGGTGTTGGGTCGCGAGACGGTGGTGTGATGTTTGGGAATCCTGCGCTTCGGCGGCGGCCGATGGCGCGCTGACTTGCCGGTGGTGTGAGGTGCTGCGACACTTACACTTTGACAAAGGGCGGAAGAGAGTTTAGCAGAACTAGAATCAAGCCTACGGAAGCTCTTTCGAACATTTAAACGAGCCTGTCTCCATGTTTTGTAAGGTTTTCGACATCATCTTCGATTTCATTGCGCTTCAAGAATGTTGCTGCATTTTAGAAATTTCTCGTACCTGATTGGACATTCGAATGGACATTTATTTGATTGGCTTCACTTCCGCAATACCGAGGCATGCTCACATGGTCACAACTCCAACAAATCTTCTGGACACGAGCGACCCGGGCGAGCAAACTTCGTACGAAGCAGCCGTGTATAGTCTCGGTGTCGCTAACAGTGACACAATAAACTCAAATCTCTGGTGACAATCCACTTTTCGCACCGGACGAGAAAGATCGGCCATGGCGCAATGACACCAACACAGCTATCACCATAAAAACATCGCCAACTTACCTCTGCAGCATCATCACTCACCATCACAGCTTTTCCAACTTTCCATCCCGAAGCGAAGATCAGATAACCACTAGCCATTGACCGTATAGCAAGCCGTTCATCATGACCACAGCAGTCCTCGCAGGCAGCACCGGCCAAGTCGTACGTCCACCACCTCCCCATCCCCACCCATCTAACACCCACCAGGGCTCCTCAATCCTCACCCTCCTTCTCGCGCACCCAAACTTCACCTCCATCCACGCCTACACCCGCAAACCACTCTCCAACCCCGACCCCTCCTCCAAACTCACACCGATAACCTCCACCGACCCATCCTCATGGCCCTCGCTCTTCCCACGCACGCCCACCCCGAAGATAATGTTCTCGGGCCTAGCAACCACGCGCGACGCCGCCGGCGGCTTCGACAACCAGCGCAAGATCGACTACGACTTGAACCTGGACTTGGCCAAAGCAGCCAAAGACGCCGGCGTCGAGACTTACGTCCTGATCTCCGCGGCGGGCGCGAGTGCCAAGTCGCCGTTCGCGTATGTCAAGATGAAAGGCGAACTGGAAGACAGCATCAAAGCGCTGGGCTTCAAGCACACGGTGTTTGTGAAGCCGGGTTTCATCGCGGGCGAGCGGAGTAATCGGAAAGTCGGCGTGGCGGAGATGGGGCTGAGGTGGTTGGCGCAGGGCATGGGGGGCTGTGGCGCCGGGGTTGAAGAATGTGTGGGCGCAGGATGGGGAGACGATTGCTAGGGCGGCGGTGAAAGGCGGGCGTGGAGTGTGTGGAGGGGAGG